GATTGAGAAGAGCGCGGTGCTGTACGACCTCATCCTTCAATCGGTCAACAACGACATGTTGATGTGAAACCGGTCCTTGACAAGATCAAAGACACCTATGCGAGGATGGCAGCGGCGGGCAGCGAGGTGTCGCAGATGCAGCAGTGCACCAAGATCATCTCGGTTCTCGACAACTCGTGGGACAACCTTATCCCCACCCTCAACGTTCACCAGGACAAATGGACGCCTGAGTGGCTACGGCAGCAGATTCTGCAGGAGGACTTCCGCAGGCGCCACACGGGAGGCGGTGCTGCCAACAAAAGTGCTGAGGGGTATGGAGCTGCAGGAGGCAGCAGAGGAAGAGGGGGAGGGAGAGGCGGAGGCCGTGGGAGAGGCTTTGGCAGAGGGAGAGGCCGAGGTGACTACAATGAGGGGCATGGGAGCTCTGGTGGCAGGGGGAGCACCCGAATGGAGGGTGCGTGCTGGTACTGCAAGAAGGCTGGACACCCGTGGTTCAAGTGTTTCAGCCGGCCTGAAGGATGGGCACCTCCAGGCATGAAGCCGCCAAGTGGTGAACGTGCACGAGGTGGTGCTGTGCAAGGTTCAGGTGCACAAGGTGATGGTGCACAAGGTAAAGCTGACCCTGGGATGTTCCTCATGGTTGAGGATGTGCAAGGAGTGGGGGTGATGTGGGTTCAGTTGGGAAGGTTGTGATGCACCCCCTCACTCATTGGGTGATCGATTCAAGTTGCACGAGTCACATGACTCCACGGGCAGATTTGCTTGATGAGGTGAAGCCCCCTGGGAAGATAAAGTTTGTGGCTGCCGCTTCAGGTGCCTTGCTCCCTGTAATTGGTGTTGGGAATGCCAAGGTTATGGGAGCTAATGGGGGGCTTGTGGGGCTGGGAAATGTGCTGTTGGTTGAAGGTTTATCCGCTAACCTCCTCTCTGTGCGCCGGCTGCAGAAAAGCAAGGCCAAAGTCACGTTCGGCCCAACCAGCTGCCGTGCAAAGCTTGCGAAGTTGCTGCTGTGGGATTTGGAGGAGAAGAGCAGCTGCATCAAGGACCTGTGGCAGCTGCCCATCATCCCTTGGAATGGGAAACCTCCAGCAACGGCAAAGGCAGCGGCAGCGGCTAAGGCAACTGCGGGAGGAGAGGAGACTGCACCAACTGCTGGGGCCCTGGATGCAGTCAAGAAGGTGCAGCAGCCACAACAATCATATGGTGAGGTGCTTGCTGGTGTGGATGCAACGGCTGCATGGGCAAAGGCTTTGTCTGGGAGTGGTGAGGCCGATTGGGAGACGTGGCATGAGAGGCTGTGCCACATCAACATTCCTATGCTGCAGAAGTTGGTGAAGGATGGGAGCTTGAAGGGATTGGAGGTGAAGGGGGCAGTGAAGGAGATTGGGAGCTGCCCTACATGCCTTGAGACAAAGTTCACCAAGTTCCCTTTCAGCAGCAGCACGGGACCAGCCAAGGTTCCACTCGCGCTTGTGCACATGGATGTGGTGGGCCCCACAAGGGCCCTTTCTCTCTCGGGCAGCCGCTACTTCTTGACCATTGTGGACGACCACACACGTGCGGTGTGGGTCTACCCTCTCAAGACTAAAGGGGAGGTGGCAGCGGTTGTTCTTAAGGAGTGGATGCCGAGAGCACAAAGGGAGAGCGGACACAAGGTCAAGGTGATCCGCACCGACAATGGGGGAGAGTTTATTGGCGCTGATTTTGAGGCGGTGCTGAAGAAGAAGGGGATCCGACATCAGCTCACGGTGCCCTACAACCCTCAGCAGAACGGCGTGGCTGAGCGGTTCAACCGGACCCTGCAGGAAGGTGCTCGCACTCTCCTTGGGCGTGCAGGGCTGCCGGATCCGTTTTGGGTGACAGCACTGCGGCAGGTCGCTGTTGTGAAGAACCGGGTGCTGGCGACAGTGGGGGACAAGCAATGGGTCCCCTACACCAAGTGGTATGGGAGTGCACCAGCAGTCAACATGCTGAGAGCCTATGGCTGCATGGTGATGTTTCATGTGCCTAAGGAGAAGAGGGGAAAACTGGAAGCTTCTGGGAGATGGGGTGTGCACTTGGGGCTTGCTAAGGATCACAAGGGCTGGCTGATTTGGGACTTGACCAGCCAGCAGCTGACTGTGTCGAGGGATGTGAAGTTCCTTGAGTCCTTGTACTACAAGGAGTGGAAGCAGCAGCAGCAGAAGTTTCCCACTACACCGCTGATCATTGAGGCTGATGAGGTGCAGCGGCCTTCGAGGCAAGTGCAGGTCACTGTCTTAGAGGAGGAGATTTCTGGGGTGACTGAGGATGGGGGAGAACCTGAGGTGGAGGAGCAGCAGCAGCAGCAAGATGCTCCACAAGGTGCCGTACGTCCGGCTGACCGTCCAAGGAGGGATGTGCGCCCTCCTAACCGGCTGACCTATCCGAGCTTTGGGAACCCAAGTGTGGTAAGGGCTGGGAGTGTGGCTGAGCAGTGTGATGAGGAGGAGATAGCGCACTGTTACTGGGCAGCCGTCCCTGAGCCCAAGACACTTACCGAGGCCTTGAGTGGGCCCGATGCTGAGAAGTGGAAGCAGAGTGTGAAGGAGGAGTATGACTCTCTGTTGGAGAACGAGACGTGGGAGCTGTGTGAGCTGCCTCCTGGGATGAAGGCCATTTCTTCCAAGCTGATTTTCAGGCACAAGTACGAACCTGATGGGGAGCTGACCCGCTACAAGTCAAGGCTTGTGGCTAAGGGGTTCCAACAAACAAAGGGGAAGGATTTTGATGATATCTTTGCTCCTGTGGGGAAAGGCACTACACTGAGGACGATGTTGGCAATGGCTGCAAACCGTGGCTGGAAGATCAAGCAGATGGACATAATCACTGCCTTCCTCAATGGAATCATTCTGGAGGAGCTGTACATGCTGCAGCCTGAGGGGTTGGATGATGGGAGCGGCAGGGTGTGCAGGCTCAAGAAGGCCATCTATGGCCTGAAGCAGGCTCCTCGCGCATGGTACCACAAGCTGGAGGAGACACTGCTGGCCGGGGGGTTCAAGAAGAGCGAGTGTGATCACAGCCTGTTCCTGCTGCAAGAGAAGGAGCAGTTCCTCATGCTCCTGGTGTACGTGGACGACATCCTGCTCTTCTCTGAGTCGTCTGCGATGATTGAACGTGTGGAGGAGATGCTGGAAATGCAGTTCAAGTGCTCCAAGATGGGAGATGTGAAGTACTACCTTGGGATGCACTTGGAGAGGGACCTTGACAAGGGAGTGTTGAGGTTGCACCAGAGGAAGTATTGTGAGGGGCTGGCTGAGAAGTATGGGCTGCAAGATGCAGGAAAGCCAGCCACCCCGCTGCCTTCAGGGTTCAGTGTGGAGCCCTGTGCTGATGAGGAGGTGGTGGAGGAGAGTGACAGGAAGTTGTTTCACTCCATGGTGGGGGCACTCAACTATGCGGCTAACCACACGCGGCCTGACATTGCCTTTGCTACATCCAGGCTTGCGAGTGTGGTTTCATGCCCAAGTCATGAGCAACTGGAAGCAGCCAAGAGGTTGGTCCGCTATGTGAGCGCTACAGCATCAGTGGGCTTGGAGTACAGTGCTGTGCGACAGAGGCTACAGAGGGGTGCAGCTGATTTGAGCAAGGGGGAGATGCGCTTGACTTGCTACACCGACGCTAGCTTCAACTCAGTGAAGACGGATGGCACCAGCATTGGAGGCTATGTGTGCCTCTTTGGAGGTGGTGCAGTGAGCTGGCGCAGCAAGAAGCAAAACGAGGTGGGGTTGTTCTCGTGTGAGACAGAGTACATGGCCCAGCATCATGGGGCAAAGGAGGTGGTGTGGCTGAGGCGTTTGTTGGAGGAAATCAGAGTGTGTCAGAGGGAGCCGACTGTGATTTTCTGTGACAATGAGTGGCGGTGAAGCTTGCGAAGAATGCCTGTCTTCATGGCTTGACAAAGCACATCAGGCCAAAGTGGCATTAGACAAGGAGGTGTTGGATGCACGTCATTCTGAGTGCATGTCATCCTAACGTCCTGCCGAGTGCTCGTGCTATTTGTGCTTGCATGATTTGCATGAGCGTATGTCATTGTGCATGGCTGTTGGATATTATCATCTCTGTTTTTTTCTCCAAGTTTAAATGCTTGATCATGCAGGAGAAATCCAGAGCTTTCCAACGATACCAAGATCGCCTTATTCCGACCAAGATTGCCCAAGTTACAAGATTTCCAAGATTTGGATTTCTTATTACCTTTTGGGGTTATATCTAATTTGGGTGATTACTTGGGACATGACTATAAAGGGATCTTTGGTTGGGTGGTTAGGAAGCCAACTTTGACTTTTGGATTGGGGTGGCTAGAAGTTTCTAGCATGGGTTGCAAATGTTGCAACACCTAGGCAAAATCCAACTAGATTGGATTTTGCATGTGACACCTCAAGGACCTCATGATGAGGGTTGCATCCTTGCTGCTAGGAAGGTTCTTACCATCCTTCCCTAGCTCTTGGAGAACCCCTTCCCTCTCATGGTTCTCTTGAAGGTTCCCAACTCCAACTTCCTATGTCCTAAATGTTTGTACTTCCTCCACCATTCTAGTCATGCGGCTACTGGACGTTTTTACCTAGTTCTCACTCTATAGACCATCTTAACAACTGATTCAACTTGGAGATGGTAGCTAAGCCTAAGGCGCAACTTCCTACCAAGCGGATTTGCGTTTAGTTGAGAATTAAGTTCGTCGTAAGCTTTCAAAGTGACGGATCCTGAACAACAAGTGGTATCAGAGCGGGTAGTCGACTTTGAGACGACGAATCGTCGTAAATACTCAACCAATGTTGTCGAGTGAGACAATTTTCTAGTAGCTCGGCTTGCGAACTTTCGATTGCTGGTCGAGTCGCGTTCTAATTCGAAGTATTCAGTCCGCGACGACGATTTTCGTAGAATCGAAATTTCTGGCAGAATTCTCTCCAAACGATTTCTCAAGTTTCCACCGTTCATAAGGCCTCAATATGGTTGGTACGAACTCCGGAGGTGCTATTGGCGAGATGGATAGAAGTAGAGAGGCTGGAGAACTGGGGGGAGTTGCTGGTGGAGGAGTGAGGACTCACCAACCAGCCAACCCTACGCTACCTACTTCTTCTACACCATCTCCTAATACCGTGGATCCTGTGAGAGCTTTCTCTATTGAGAAATTCATGGGGGAGGACTACGAGCACTGGAGTTTCCGCATGAGGCTGATGTATACCCAATACAAGCTATTGGATTTGGTGGAGGGGAAGGAGAAGATGCCGGAGGCCGCGGAGCTGAAAGGAGCGTGGATGAAGCGATCGTTCGACGCGTATATGCTCATGGTGCAAGCGGTGGGCGGACGGCAACTTGACCACATCAAGGACCTCTTGGGTGATCCAGAGTGTGGTCCCAAGGCTTGGAGGAAGCTTCTGGATGTGCACTCACCGACACATGCTACCGGCATCGTGCTACTCGCGCGGCGGCTGCGCGACATCAAGTTCGTTGATGGAGAGCCGATGCAACCGGTGTTGGATGAGATGCGCGACATCTTCACGAAGCTCCAAGGAGGCGGAGTGGTGTACCCGGAGCTCGTGCAATGCGTGGAGATCGTGATACGGCTGCCGGAGTCTTGGTCTGCCCTTGCGATCAACCTCAACTCCCAACAACCCCAATGGAGCGTGGATTACATTCGCGCGCGCATCCTAGAGGAGGACTTGCGGCGGCGGAGTGTGGAGCGCTCGGAGGAGGGGGCTGGCTATGGAGTTGGAGGTGGAAAGAGTGGCTTCAAGAAGAAGTGGAAGGGCAAGAATAAGGATAACCCTAAGGAGGATGGCGGCGGGGGTCAAGGGGAGGTGTGCTTCTACTGCAAGAAGCGCGGACATCGTTGGCGGAAGTGCTACCAACGACCCAAGGATTGGACCCCGCCTTCATCAAGCAACCAGCGTGGTGGCACGAGGAGTGGGGGAGTCATGGGAGCTAGTGGAGAGGAGAAGGATGAGGAGAAAGGCGGCAAATCTGAGGAGCGGAAGGCCGGGTTCTTCTTCTTCGTGAACGAAGGCGCAACCGACCACGCTATGGCTGCCAAGGTTCTCCTACACCCCCTCACCCATTGGGTGATTGACTCTGGGAGCTCTTGGCACATGACTCCCCGTGCGGACCTACTTGATGAGATTCAGCCCGCACCCATCTCTACAGTCACATCCGCGACGGGCGCGAAGGCCAAGGTCATGGGCATGGGATGCGGCAAGTTCATGGGAGCGGATGGAGAGCTCGTGGGGCTGAAGAACGTGCTGTGGGTGCCGGACTTGTGCGCGAACCTGATTTCTACCGGCCGGTTGGGAGATGCGGGTGTGAACACCGAGACGATTGGCTCGGAGCGCTATCGTGCCTACAACGATGAGCGGCTGATTTGGGACCTGCAGTGGAAAGGGGATGTCCACAAGCAGATGTGGCAGATCCCGGTCCTCCCTTGGCGGAAATCGGGCAAGGCGGCAATGGCGGCATCTATGGAGGAGAGCGTTACCGAGGAGGAGCAGCATGGTGTGCAAGGAGAGGAGCTGATTGGAGGAAGCGCAGCGGTGAAGGCGTCGGCTACCTCAGGCCAAGCGGATTGGGAGACTTGGCATCGGCGGCTCGCACACGTGGCTGTTTCTACATTGGAGGTGATGCACAAGGAGAAGTGCGTGCATGGGCTGCAACTGCAAGGAGATGGCATTCACTATGGCAGCTGCGAGGCGTGCATGCAAAACAAGTTTGCGCGGTTCCTGTTCCCACGAGCGGAGGGATCAGCGAAGGCACCATTGGAGGTGGTGCACATGGACCTGGTGGGTCCTATGAGGACTGAGGGGACTGGGGGAGTGCTCTTCTTCCTCACCATGGTGGACGAATGGAGCCGTTTCACGTGGGCGCGTCCCTTGTCCAAGAAGAGCGATGCTGCAGCGGCAATCAAGGAGGATTGGTTGCCGATGGTGGAGCGGCAAGCGATGCGGCTGGTGAAGGTGCTGAGGAGCGACCGAGGTGGAGAGTTCCTTGGAGCGGAATTCACCAAGTTCCTCAAGAGAAATGGCATCCGACATCAGCTGACCTGCCCTGGAACACCGCAGCAGAACGGCATTGCTGAGCGTGCCAACCGGACCATTGGCGAGGCGGCTAAGACCTTGTTGGGGGCTGCTGGGATACCGTACAAGTTCTGGCCTGATGCCGTTCGCCATGTCATCACGGTCAAGAACAGGGTCTTGACTCATGTTGGCGACAAGCATTGGGTGCCGTACGAGCGTTGGCTTGGGAAGAAGCCATCTATTGACATGCTGCGGGTGTGGGGCTGCATGGGGCTTGTGATGGTGCCTAAGGAGCAGAGGCACAAGCTGGAAGTGGCTGCTGTGTGGGCTGTCCATCTTGGGATGGCTCCAGACTCGAAGGGGTGGCTGATGTGGGACCCCAAGAGCAAGAAGTCGCTGGTCAGCCGTGACGTCAAGTTTGTGGAGGACGTCATGTACAAGGACTGGCAGCAGCAGCAGCAGGTGCAGATTGGCTTGCGTCTGCAGGAGATTGAGCGGTCTGCAGTGGAGGATGTTCAGCTGCACCTTGAGGATCTCCCTGGGTCAGAGCTGACCAGTGATCACAGTGGCGGTGGTGAGCAGCAAGGCGCTGGTCCTGCTGCGGAGGAGGGGTTGGAGGATGAGTCGGCACGTGTGGACTCACCTTCTCAGCCCGAGCCTGCTGCAAACGCCAAGGTCACCAAGAGGAGTGTGTAGAAAGGAGCTTCACCACATGGGCAGCAGATTGCAACCCGTGAGAAGAGAGTGGCAGCAGCACCCTCAAGGCTGAAGTATAGCCGTTTGGGAGGACCCAAGCAAGGTGCCATGGCGGTTCAGGCGGATGAGGGAGAGGATGAGGAGATGGCGTTCTGTTTCTTCACACCCTTGCCTGGAGAACCAGCCACAGTGGAGGAGGCACTCAGTGGACCCCAAAAGGAGGAGTGGAGGGCTGCCATGGATGCATAGTTCAACAGTCTCATTGAGAATGGGACTTGGGAGCTTGTTGAGTTACCCGAGGGGCGACGGCCGATCAGCAGCAAGTGGGTCTTCAAAGTGAAGAGTGGTGCTGATGGTGCGCTGGAGCGGTTCAAGAGCCGTTTGGTCGCCAAGGGGTTTCAGCAGAAGGAGAAGGTCGACTTTGGGGAGATCTTCGCTCCCGTTGCTAAGCCATTGACACTGAGGACTTTGATGGCTCGCGCAGCTGTGAAGGGATGGCACGTGAAGCAGATGGATATCACCACTGCATTCCTCAATGGAATACTGCTGGAGGATATCTACATGGCGCAGCCCGACGGCTATGAGGATGGGACCAGCCGGGTGTGCAAGCTTAAGAAGGCCATCTATGGCCTTAAGCAAGCACCCAGGTGTTGGTACGAGAAGCTGGAGGAGGTGCTGCTGGGTGGAGGCTTTAAGACGTCCCAGGCGGATCACAGCTTGTTTCTGCTTGGAGAGGGGGAGCAGTTGCTTTTGCTGCTGGTGTATGTCGATGACATACTGCTGTTCTCACCCTCCATGGAGCAGATTGAGAGGACACAGAAGCTGCTGATGGACAACTTCAAGTGCAAGATGCTGGGGGATGTCCACTACTACTTGGGGCTGCAGATTGAGAGGGATGTTGAGAGGAGGTGGCTGAAGGTGCATCAGTCACACTACATCTCTGGTGTCATGGAGCGGTATGGTGTGACTGGGGGTCGCACTGTGATGACACCGTTCCCTGCAGGCTTCAAACTGAAGAAGGCAGCAGAGGAGGATGATGTGCTTGAGGATGAGCAGCAGAATGAGTACCAGTCACTCATTGGGAGTGTGATGTATGCAGCTGTGCATACGCGACCTGATGCTTCATTCGGAGTGGGGCAGCTGGCCAGAGTTGTGCAACGGCCCACTGTGGAGCAGTTGGAGGTGGCAAAGCGCTTGGTGCGCTACCTTGGATCAACGGCATCTGCTGGTGTTCAGTTTTCAGCTGGCGGCCAGCTGAAACAGATTGGAGCAGATGGGGTCACGCCTGGTACCTTGAAGCTGTCGTGTTTCACCGACGCCACATGGGCCTCAGAGGATGAGGATCAGTCATCAGTTGGCGGCTTTGTGTGCATGGTCGGAGGTGGACCAGTGAGCTGGAGGTCCAAGAAGCAGAGTGAGATTGCTCAGTCTTCCGGAGAGGCAGAGTACATGGCGATGTACCATGCCATCAAGGAGATCGTGCTCCTGAGGAAGCTGTTGGAGGACATGGGAGCTGAACAGGAGGGACCTACACCACTTTTCTCCGACAGCGAGGCTGCTATTGGCATGGCCAATAATCCTATCCTGAATGGGCTGAACAAGCACATGAAGATTAAGTGGCACTGGGTGAGGCAGATGGTGAAGGAGGGAGCTGTTGAGCTTCACCATGTGAAGGCTAGCAAGCAGGCGGCAGATTTTCTCACCAAGAGACTTCCCGAGAGCGCACATTGGAAGTGTGCTAAGATGTGTGGCATGGCATTGCACTAGTGAGGGCAGCAGTGTCATGAATGCATGTGTGATTGTGTGCATGAGACTATGCATGTGTCGGAGTGTGTGTGCATGCAGTCCATTAGTCTGAGGGGGAGTTTGTTGGATGCACGTCATTCTGAGTGCATGTCATCCTAACGTCCTGCCGAGTGCTCGTGCTATTTGTGCTTGCATGATTTGCATGAGCGTATGTCATTGTGCATGGCTGTTGGATATTATCATCTCTGTGTTTTTCTCCAAGTTTAAATGCTTGATCATGCAGGAGAAATCCAGAGCTTTCCAACGATACCAAGATCGCCTTATTCCGACCAAGATTGCCCAAGTTACAAGATTTCCAAGATTTGGATTTCTTATTACCTTTTGGGGTTATATCTAATTTGGGTGATTACTTGGGACATGACTATAAAGGGATCTTTGGTTGGGTGGTTAGGAAGCCAACTTTGACTTTTGGATTGGGGTGGCTAGAAGTTTCTAGCATGGGTTGCAAATGTTGCAACACCTAGGCAAAATCCAACTAGATTGGATTTTGCATGTGACACCTCAAGGACCTCATGATGAGGGTTGCATCCTTGCTGCTAGGATGGTTCTTACCATCCTTCCCTAGCTCTTGGAGAACCCCTTCCCTCTCATGGTTCTCTTGAAGGTTCCCAACTCCAACTTCCTATGTCCTAAATGTTTGTACTTCCTCCACCATTCTAGTCATGCGGCTGCTGGACGTTTTTACTTAGTTCTCACTCTATAGACCATCTTAACAACTGATTCAACTTGGAGATGGTAGCTAAGCCTAAGGCGCAACTTCCTACCGAGCGGATTTGCGTTTAGTTGAGAATTAAGTTCGTCGTAAGCTCTCAAAGTGACGGATCCTGAACAACAGGAGGCTCCTGGACAAGGAGGTGCGGCTGGAGATTGTGAAGACCCAGCAGCAGGCGGCTGACATTCTCACCAAGCGCCTGGCAGAACCTGAACATTGGAAGGGCATGAAGCTTGCGGGAATGAGTGTGCATTGAGAGTGCATGCTTGAGTTATGGCATGTGGGATGATGGTTGGCAGCCAGAGGGGGAGTTTGTTGTGTGATGCAACCATATGCATTCACGTCTGTCTGCCTCCCATCATGTGTTTGTGCGTTGCATGCGTGGTGTGAGCGTGTGCAAGAAATTTGTGTCTTGTGTGGTTTGGATTTTCTGTGTGTGTGTATGTTATTTGGCTTGAGCAGGTATCTGAAGTGATTCCTCTACTCAAGAGCTTTCCGACGAACCATGAATCGTCGCGATCGGAGCACAACCAAGAAAGTTACGAATATTGGAGTTCATATGCTTATATATTTTGGTTGCAACTACTTTGGGAAGTTGTGGCATTGACTCAATATGGGGTACAGACTTGTGGGGGTTGGGAAATTCTAACCCATCACTGTAGATGCTGCCAAGAGGTTGGGTGAAGCCAAACCAGGTTGGTAAGTGTGGCCAAGTTGTGGTGAGGTGGATGGCATGGGTTGGAAAGTGACAAAGGTCAAAGTTTGTTGCCTATGGGGAAGGGAATTGTGTGGCATGGGGTTTCCTTGGTTGGGGACTCTCTCTTGGGACCTTCCTTTTCGTCCTCCTCTTCCCCTCCTACCAGGTTTAGTGCTACTCTAATGTTCTTTTGTGGGACTTGTGAGTTAATTGTGATTGCGTTAAATTTTTGTGGCAGCATATCCCCTAGTGCGCCGAAAAGCATAACTCGAGATATGCTTCATATTTTGATACGATTCAAATTGGGAAATGTAGCCACGGTCTAGGGCTACAACATATTCGAATTTCGTGGGATTCTAACAGTGCACCTTTCGTCGAAAACGTTTCTTGTGAAGTCGACGTTTCTGTCCAGAAATTGAGACCAACGATTTTTAGAAATTTGGGCGCCTAATCTTCATAGACTCCGTCCTTAGTCTCCAACATCTTGCTCCAGGTCCCCCTGCGGTAGACCCCCTCCCCCCTCAGGGTCCTGCTCCTTCAGGTGTGTCTCAGGTAGACCCACTCCCCTTGGTTGAGCCTGTAGAGGTCACTAGCGACTCATGTGCTGATGCGGGTGGTGCTGCTCGGGGTGCTGCGTCTGGGGGTGCTGAGCCTGTGCGTGAGGTGCTGGTGGGTGCGGAGCCTGGGGGTGCTGAGCCTGCGAGTGCGGAGCCTGGGGGTGCTGAGCCTACGAGTGCGGAGCCTTGGGGTGCTGAGGCGGAGGGTGCCGGGTCTGGGGGTGCTGAGTCTGGGGGTCTCTTTTCACGACGGGGGCCTCTCTCACCACAGGAGCCACGAGAGTGGCTTGCGTGGCGTGCCCGCTTGAGGAGTCGTGCTGCTGGAGCTGGAGGTACTCCTGCTCGAGGTGCTGCGGTTAGAGCTGCTGGAGCTGCTCGTCATGGAGGAGCTAAGGGTGCTGGTGTTTCTGGGTCTGGATGTGCTCGTACTAGAGGTACTGGAGCGGCCAGGATTGGTGGTACTGCTGGCGCTGGAGAAGTTGGTACTGCTGGCGCTGAGGGTCCTGGAGGTGCACGTACCGGGGTCCGTGGTGCTGGAGGCACTGGAGCTGGAGTCCCGCGCATTGGAGTTCGAGATCCTGGAGCTGGAGGTGCTGGCCCTCGAGATGCTGGCCCAGGGGGTACTGAGTCTGTTGGTACTGAGCCTAGGGGTGCTGAGTCTGTTGGAGGTCCTCCTGGAGCTGCGTCGCAGCGGTCACCTCTCTCGCCACAGCAGCTGCGCGAGTGGCTTGCTTCGCGCACCCCCCTTCGGAGTCGCGTTGTTGGAGCTGGAGGCACTGTTGCTGGAGGTGCCGGAGCTGGAGGCACTAGAGCTGGAGGCGCTGGAGCTGGAGACCTTGGAGCTGGAGGTGCCGGTTCTGGGGGTGCTGCTGCTGGAGGCACTGGAGCTGGGGGCCTTGGGGCTGGTACTGTCGACCCCTTGAGACCCTTGAGTTGGAGGTGCCGGTTCTGTGGGTGCTGCTGCTGGAGGCACTGGAGCTGGAGGCCCTGGAGCTGGTGCTGTCGACCCTAGAGTTGGAGACCCTGGAGCTGAAGGTGCCGGTTTTAGGGGTGCTGTTGCTGGAGGCGCTGGAGCTGGAGGCCCTGGCGCTAGTACTGTCGACCCTGGAGTAGGAGACTCTGGAGCTGGAGGTGCCGGTTCTGGGGGTGCTGCTGCTTGAGGCCCTGGAGCTGGAGGTGCCAGAGCTGGAGGCGCTGGGACTGGAGTGTCTGGAGCTGCTGGAGGCGC